TAATATAGAACTGCAAACAGTATATTTTCCTCTTGGGTAAATGCGAGGTACTTGAAAGACAGCAAAGGATAAGCTAGCTGCAAGCTATTTCAGGCTGGTAGCAGCCAGAAGTGGTAAGATGACTGCTGAATGTCCTGAGTCTTTCAGAGCAAAGCTGAGGTTCCCTGCCACGTGTGTTGGTCCTCTTTACATTAGCTCATAGAAACCTGGTTACCTTGTCTGGCACTGTTTTTGGTCAGTTTATTCATTTTTTGGTTTTGTGCAATTTTTTTAAATGTGTGCTCCCTTGGGAGCTTCCTCCTGCATCTCATATTCTTTGCATCAAGTTTTTCTCTGGGGAGTATGAGGATGGAGGTATTGAGCATTTCCGTTCCCCTTTTCTTTGTCAGCGATTGCCTACCTTTCCCTGATTTATGTCCAATTCTGAGTTTGGTCATCTCTCCCTCTTAGCTCTTAGCCTCCCCACAGGTGACTGTACTGTCACCAGATCCCTGAGACATCGGAATTGCTTTCTTCACCACATTTGGCTGGTAGGCAGGATTGATCAAACATAGTCGCTCCTACCTGACTTCAGTAACCACCACTGTCTGTATTCTACCTTCACAGAACTTTTCTTCAGTTAACATCACTTTGTTTTCAAAAATATCGACCTCATATGTTCTTGAGCATCCGTGTGGTGTCAAACTGTCTGAATAACCCCAAGTATAAATATGACATACACGTTCAAAAGAACAGAGAGATAATAAACGTTGACCTTTCTTGTTAGGTTTCATCAGCACCTCTCACTTCTACCTTTTTAAGCAATACCTGCTGCAAAGGACAATCTATTTAATTTGTATCTTTAGGAATCCGCGTGAACATAAGGATCTGTCCTTGTGGATTTTTGTTGCTTCTGAGGTCTATGGAGGTGTGAAGATGAACCAGAGAAGCAGCTGTTTATGTGAGTTATAGGATGTGAGAGCAGACACTAAACCAACCAAAGTTATAAATATTAATTTATCTTCTTTGAATGACACTTCCATCAACTTGTTTTGTTTGCTTTTTGGCTTTTCTTTTCAGTTCAATAGTGGTTTCATTCTTTTAGTTATTTATATAAAGGTATAAAGCTAGGCATGGCATTGAACAACAGATTAAAATATAATTTAGTATAAAACACTGTGAAGCAGTAATCAAAAAATAATTAAATACAAGAAAATAAGTAATCACAAGTACCACACACCACAGTCCAAATCCAGTCTCTTGGGAACTTTTTTTGGGGGGGAGGGGGGTGGCTTCTAGCAGTCACAATGCTGACTTAGTGACTCTGTGACGTTATTTATGTATTCAGGTCACGTTTCATTCTCCTCTTTACGTACAGCTTCAACCAGATGTGGTATCCTCTCTCAGCATTTCTTGACAAAAGTCAGGTTTCAGGCTTTTCAGAAGGGGTGGGGAACGTGCTCGCCATATGGATATTACTGGTTTGAGGACCAAAAAAAACCCTTCACCACTAAATATGAAAACTGGAGATATGTACATGTTCAGAATTGTGCCTAACAGCTTAGGAAAGGGGTGAATAGTATCTGTCTCTCACGTTGCTGGGTTTAATTTGCCAGAAATTAATCTATTTGGCGGGACAGGGGGAGGGACAGAACAACATATCTGTAGTCAGTCTGCTTTATTTTCACCTCAGGGAAACTTGAGATGGTGACAGTCCCACGAGTTTCTAGCCCCGTCCTGGATGATCAGCTCTAAGCAGCTATTCGTGCTGAGGTTGACTTGGGGTTAGTAGGGAAACGATATGCAGTGAGGCAGAAGAACAGGAATGGTGACCATAAGAATGTATTTGTTTTACTTCACTAAATTTGTTGAGCTTAAAAACATTGAAAACTTCTTAATTCTTAAAGCTTTTACGTAGAACTATTTCAAAATAGTTTTGGTAGTAACCTATAATATACCGAGTTTAAAACCTTGTATTACTTTTTGATGATGTGCTGGAGAACTTGGAGGCCTTCCATTTTACTAGGCATATTTTGTTTTAAACTCCAAAGCCCATTCAGGAATGCAGTCTTTTACTTTTTAAATCATTTAAGTATTATTTTGTCATTGATACTTTTTTAACATTAAAGCTTTGGAATTTGCTGTTGAACATTGATTTAAAGCAGAAATCCTCTACTAAGTCCTTTTTTTTTTTTTTTTTTTTTTTTTTTTTTTAGTATAGGCATACCTTGGTGAAAGATGAGTTTCTGTAGGGACATCTCTCATAATGGTGATTTATTATTTAACATTAGTTAGTCTCAGTCCACCTTCTTTCTGGACACCAAGTGACCTCTATTTAAGGCATTCGTAAAGGATACTGACTGTCTCTGTAAAGTGCTTTGGGATACACAGCAAATGCTTTGTGCAGACTAGTATTATGGTCTTTGTATCACTGGACATGTACTCACATCTCAGAAAACACCACCCCCCAGGCATTAACTAGAGCTAGAGCCCAAGGATTGAATGTGGGTGTTGACCCACCTGATTCTTCAGGTCACTCGTGGGGTCAGTTACTGAGAAAGATTTCTGGACCACTGCAGAGCGGAGGGAGAGCTTCAGGCTGCCGACGGAGCTGCTCAGAGGTGAGGCAGGTGGAAGGAGGTGGCTTGCCATGAACACACTAGGAACCTTGCTGAATAGAAAAAGCACTTTGCCGTAGAGAGAAGATTCAGGAGAAACAGAAGAAAGAAGCACTGTAGTTAGGACCCCAGGAATACATCTTCAGAGTAGATAGAAGTACTTCAAAAACACCCACAGTATCCTCTTTTGTATCAACGAAAAAATATGCAGGTGCTTGCAAGGGACTGGCTTTCACCAGCTCAAGATAATCAGAAAATTAATATTTTTCCAGCTTCCTATGAGCTTCCTAGAACTGATAGATATAAATCCACCATAGGGAAGAGGGTATATTATATTTCACCTTCTTAAGAGATAAAAGAGGGCTGATGACTAATGCTGAAATGAATTGTTAAGAGACTTAATTACTTTTAGTTGCACCTGCTTGTTTGGTACATGTCCCAATTAATTCATTTTTGTTGCGACCATATTGAAGCAGCATGCACCCTTGTGACCTTCTCTTACAATTATTACCATATTCCTCTTTTGAAGCACTGTTTTGATTACGTACTCAAAAAGCTCTGCTAAAGTATCTGTAGTATTAGTACAGAGTCAAATTTTCCATTGTTTAGAACTTAAGGATCTTAACAAAGAGTCATTTGTTATTGAAGTTCCTGGAGGTTAAGGGTCACTTACCAGCCCTTAGGGCTCTGTGGGGGCTGTTTCTTCCTTTATTAAATTTTAAAAAATGGCTACTTTGGAAGATGCAGAACTTGTTTTCTCACTAGAAATTCTTTAGGAAAAATGTGTTGTTGGACAGTAGCACTCAGAGGCGCCTCGTCATTCCTCCGTTGTGCTAAATATTGTATATGTAGAGGGTGATCAGGGAAAGTAACAGCAGCTGAAAGGGAGCTGGCAAGCATGACCATCCCTAAACTTGCTGAGATTGCTGTGTGGGATCTCTGCCCCAATCTCTGAATTGGTTTTCTTATTGCTTAAATTAATTAGAATAGTTGACAACTATTTGCCTAAATTACAATAGAGCTGGCTGGGCCCCTAACTGTGAAGGAGGGACTCTTCCAGACATGATAGCCAAATTTGCAGTGGTAGGTGACTGTGTCAGTGGGAGGTTGTCTGTGCAGGCAAGGGGGTTATTCCTCAGTGCTTTGCAGGAAGAAGGTTTACCATTTTGTTCCAACCTCTGATATAGTAACTTAAGCTCAGTATGATATTTTTGTACGGACATCAGTTCATTTCCTCCTGCTTACCAGAAAATCCCAGCCAAATGGTGTTCCTCCATCACACCATGCAAACACGCGCCAGTGGAGCTAGTTGTGTGTAGCGGTTGCACAGCGGGTGTAGGATGAGAGAAAGGTGCTCTGAATGTTGGATCTTTCATTCAAGTAGAAACAGGAGGTCTTTAAGCAAAAGAAAGTTGCAAAGCAAAACCGTGCCCACCGGATGTCAAATTTAGAAAGCTGCTGAATGTCCTTGTGGTTTTGTGTACTTCTTACTACAGTGATCCCTTCGCCTCGGGCACAATAGGACACTCGCAGAGGATATTTCTTTACACAGGGCTTGCTGATACTGTTTCTCTGCATCTGTTTTCTCTTCCTTGTTCCCTGTCCTTTTCTCTCTACTTCCTTACAGAGCGCCTTCATCTCTGTTTTATGCTGTGTGGAGTGGTCTTTTTGTACAGGAGACTCTCTCTGTTCTTGAAACAATTGAAAATGCTTAAAGATAATGGCTATCTCTAGGTCTCAGCTTTTTAATGGAAGGGCCCTCCAAGCTGCTGGGAATAGTGATGCCTGAGGACAACGGGTCTACCCCGGATGCCACTGGCATTCTGCCTCCTCTTGGTGTAACTTTTGTCTGAGCAATCTTTTGTTTTCCCTCGATGGAAGACTGCTCAGGTACCGAAAGTTCCTGAGTCAGTAGAAAAGAAAAAGTTGGAAAATTTTCCTTCGGCTGTGAATGATAATCCAGGATAAAACAAACTCCTGCCTAGAGATTGATCCTCTTTATGCACCAAGGGAAGGGAAGGCGGGTGATTAGAAAGCCAAAGGAATGGTATCTCCACAGAAACAGAAATAGAGGTTAATGCTTTGCCGGGCTCACTCTTGATTTCTCTCTTTATATAATCTGGTTTAACTCTTCAGCTTTGTTTAGCTCTAAAGCATTCTGCTCTGGAGTACATATGAAAGATGCGGTATGAAATATTAATTTCCTTTCCATCAGTGGGGAAGGGTTGGGTTTTTTTTTGTTTTGTTTTGTTTTTTTTACCTAAACTCCTGTGCCACATCACACAGCATGCAGTCGAGGTGTTGTGTTGTACACAACACCTACAGGACTCTACTAAGTAGTGAAATCTGAAAGTCTGAGAGTTGTTAAAATACAGCTTTCTGTTTGTGCATTTTTTGGTGTAGAAACAGAAAAGCTAGGGCTGGAGGCAGGAAATGGATTGCCATCTTGGAAATTTAACGACCAGCTCTTTCCTTGCGATGTGTGTGGAAAAGTGTTTGGCCGACAGCAGACTTTGTCCCGGCATCTCTCACTGCATACAGGTAATCTGATGCTTTGGTGTCTGTCTTTGCAGCACTGAGCAAATCTGCTTATTCATCATGGTTTGTTTAGGTGGAAGGGGATGAAGGTAAGCAGAAGAGTACGTGTGGAAGGAGCCATCCTCAGCTTCTTGCCCTTAAGAGCACAGCCAGGCACAGCAGCAGGCCAGATTGTCATAGGAGTGGCATTCAGGGAGTTAACTAACATTTTCTTTTTCTTTACAGAAAAATAAATTTATCTTTACAAAATTTGTAATTTCTCTTTACCAAATGTATAAATATAAGTTTGTCCAATTTCCAACAGGCCAGTCTGTAGCTATCAATTGGTTAAGCACGCCTCTTAACAGAGCTCTGAAGCGAAGATGCAACTTTTGTCTGTCCTTTCTTGCATTCATCTGATGAGCTTTCTAAACCCTCCTGAACAACAAAAACCAAAAGATCTGGCCTTGGGGTTTCAGATAGGGTGAAACTGAAGGGATTTAATATTTGTAATTCGCCTTTACTCTCATCGTTCCGAAAGGAACCAGCTTCCTTAAAGTCAATCGGTTTCAAATCAGCTGAGACTAACAGAGTTTTTATATGGAAGATGCACCTTGTTAGCTTGCTGAGGCACACTGCACAAAATAAACCTTGAAAGCAAGAATTTCTGATGCAGTGCTGAAAAATCTTGTTGATATAATGCCAGTAAATGTTGTACCATTTAGTAGAGTCACACTGAAAAAGTTTAAATGCTCCATTCCATGACCCTGTGGGGTTTTCTTAATCTTAAACTGCTCTATTGAACTTCTTTTGCCCTAACACACTTGTAGTGGTATATTTCAAATTTAGAGCAGCAGATCTTCAACAGGAAAGCTTGTAAAAGCTGATGTAATGTAACGTTTGGGTTTTTTATTAATCAGCTCTTTACAAAATGTAGTCTGGCATGTACAAGAACTCTGCTGCCAGGATTTAGAAATTTTTAATTTAAAAAAAAAATCATTTTTATTTTAAAAGCTGTGAAGCATCAAAAACAGATGATGAATTTGTTTGGGTTGTTTAATTGTTTTCTGAGTGGTTTTGCGTTGGCTTGTGTTCAGAACTGGCCTAATGATGCAGCCTTCCCGCTCCTCTCCACCCTACCAGATTTCAATACAAAATCAAACGTAAACTCTCTGCAAGTGATCACATGGGCAACCTCAAAAACACTTAAACCAGACCCGAAAATCAAATAGGTGCTAGGTAAAGGATGTAGTTGTAAATTAGTGAACTGATTCTGTACTGCCTCTGCTGCAGCTCTCAGAGCTGCAGTTACCCCAGTTTTCTACAGTTTATAAAGTTTTATATTATCTGACTACAGATGTTAGCCCAAGTTTAAAAAATACCCCTAAACTATCTCCAAATGAATTTTTTTTCTGAGTAATTGCTGTGAACTCCTGTAACTTTCCAGTCTCAAGCTTCCAAAGTACTTCATTCTGAAAGCTGCTCAGAGAAACCCAAAGGAATGCATACTTGGTTGCTGGAAGCTTTAAAAACAGTTTGCTTCAAAATGAAGTGTACATTTAAGGTTTTCTGTTTCTTTCTCAGAAGAGAGAAAATACAAATGCCACTTGTGCCCCTATGCTGCTAAGTGCCGTGCTAATCTGAACCAGCACCTGACCGTCCATTCTGTGAAGCTGGTGAGTACAGACACTGAGGACATTGTCAGCGCTGTTACTTCTGAAGGCAGTGATGGAAAGAAGCACCCTTATTATTACAGGTGAGGACCCAGTGGAGGGCTGTGCACAAGACACGGGCATCTGAATGTCTCATTTGCCTGCTAAGGACACGTTACAGGGCCACCCTTCTGGCCTTCCAGGGTGGAATTGCACCGAAAGTGTTTGGCTTGCCCATATCTGACTTCGGGCTCAGCAGCAAAACCCAGCTGGCTGCCTGCTGCTGTTTGACTTGGCTAGCCACTGGGAAAGACTGTGTTTTGGGGGTTTAGCTTTGAGAGGCAGACGTGCTCTTAGACGTCTCTTAAACTTTTTAAAACTTTTTATGCAGTGTTCATTAAGTTTTGTGTATGGACGAGTCCCGTTGTGTACACAGATTCGTGGCAAATCTAAAGCACAGTGCTTCCAGTTGCCTCTGTTGGTTCCATTATTTTCAGCCAAATCCAGGAAATCAAATGGTAATGTATCAAATTAATTACAATCTCCACATACACATTTCCTCTATTTGCTAGAGGTATATGTGTTCTAGGATTCAGTGACCAACACGATGAGAGAGAGAGAGAGAGAAGACCATTAGAAAAATATGCCTTAAAAAGTAAGAGGAATTGCCCAGACAAAGCTGTTACTTGGGCATGCTTGTTGTTGTATGCACTGTTGTGCGCTCTGCAAGCCGTGCTGTGCACCCTAGCGGCCAGCCAGATTACAAAATCACTCCTATTTTTAGTCAAAGTGCCAAGAACAGATTTAATTACAGAATCATAGAAGTAAGAAATAAATGAGACCTACTGTATTAGATTATCTAGTCCATCCCCCTGGGAAGGCAAAATCATGCCCCAGAGTATATGCCTTTTCAAATGTTTTTGGCTTGTTTTAAATGTTAATGGCCTAATCAAAGCAAGAGGAGGACTCTGCATAGAAAGTTAAATTAAAGGGTCCCTTCCATTGCTTCTAAATATCACTGTTTATGCACTGGCTGTGAAATCTGTATCCCTGCTAATTATTCGCATAGCTGATGACTGCTGTTTTCCAGTCAAGCATAAGGAATGTTTGAACCCATTTTTACTTGCTTACACTGAATCTGCCAGGCAATTTTGCACAAGATCCCAGTTTGGCATGGGAACCATTCCAGAGCTTGAAAATAACTCCTGGAGTGTGCAGCAAGCTCTCCGTTTGTCAGTGTATCAGCCCTACTAAACATCTTGGCAAGGCTGCAGCGCATCTTATTGCCCAAAGGAATCAGCTAGGTGATGCGCAGCATCTGGAATCTGTAGTTTTTAATTAACTTTATGATTATTTAGCATCATTATAGCATGTACAGGATTGTTGCGTTGTGCCTGCCCTTAATCACGTTGGCATGGCCATCAGTTCAAAGGCAGTTCAGCAGACAAAAGAATTTTACAGTAAACATTCAACAGTGAGGAAGAAAAAAAGTCTGCGCGGTGAGTTTCTACTTGCAGAACGGAGGGAAGGGCAATATGCTTATGTTTGCATTTTGTTTTTTAATGTTTTTTGCTCTTGAATTCCCTTCTACCTGCAGCTGTCACGTATGTGGGTTTGAGACAGAGATGAACGTCCAGTTTGTCAGTCATATGTCCCTCCATGTGGATAAAGAGCAATGGATGTTCTCAATTTGCTGCACAGCGTGCGATTTTGTCACCATGGAAGAGGCAGATATGAAGGCTCATGTCAACAGCAAGCACACAGGTGATGATCCCCCTCTCCCAGCTGCAGTGATCTCTCTCCCCCTTTCTTTTTAGGTGCAACCTTCACACTTCTCATCAGCACTCTCGTTACTTTCACTGAAATGCTTGCTAATTAAGGCCTGATCTTGCAAAGTTGAAGTGAGTTGGACTCCTGCCAGGCAGATGGTCTGGTAGTGCAGATCAATTTTCAAGCTTAGGGAAATAAATGAAGGACTACTTAGTCCTGCTCCCTCCCCTCCCCCCAGATCCCCTCTGCTGTTGAAGACAGCGTTGCATACATGTTTTGTTTTTCTCACTGGTTTACTATTTCATCAAAATCACAATCGACTTTAGTGGTGACAAGGTGACTTTGGGTATTAATTGTGCATACCTGCTTGTAGGTATGTAATACACAATATATTGAACTGTGCTGTTGGTCTGTTCGCCCCCACAGTCTATCAGTTTGAAATTTCATGTTGATGTTTAGTTGACACTGTGATTCAGCAGTACTATAAATGTAACTTTATATTAAATAACAGAAGAAGTCATATGTTCTCTTCTGGTCCTGTTCACTTAATAGCCAAAGATAAGAGCAATAGCAGTTTTCAAACAAGCTCCATATGCTTAGTCCAACTAATGAAGTCTGGCATAATTTAAGGAGAAGAAAATTAGAATTCTTTTAATATCTCTCATAACACCAGGCAGAAGGATTTTTGCTGTCACAAGCTGCTGACAATTGTGTTGACAATGTTGAAGGTGGAGCGCGTCCAGCTCAGTTTTTCCATTGCTAAATTGCTTTTCCTGTCCTACTAGGAATAAAACTGAGAAAATGTATAGGAGGGTTAGAGAAGGAGAAAGGAGAGGGGAATGCAGTTGTTTGTGCTTACAAATACATGAATTAAATGTAACTATGGAAATACAAAGTATAGGGAGGCCGTTATGGGATTCTGTGCCAGCACAGCTCTCAGCATTACTGTGCAAGCTCCCATCTCCCTGCTCTCTGAAGCGTTTGCATTCACTTATGACCCTGGCTTCACGCTAACTTTGTATCTAGCCCCAGTTTGCATATAGGAGATCAAGGCAAATGGAGACAGCCATCTATAGAGACATGTAAAGTTTGCATCAGACTCAACTCAAACTGAGCTGTAGTCCACTGTTTCTTGCTATTGTGGCTCAGAGATTGGAGCTGCTGTTTGTCTTTTAAAGCCTCTCTTTTAAATACTTCTCCATTCATCCTGTCAAATTCAGCTATTCAGCTCGTGATTCAGCCAAATGCTTGCACACGTGGAAAATAGGGAGAGAGAAAAAAGAATGGATTTTCTGGGTCACTTGACTCCAGTCCTTTACCCTGTAAGGTTACCAGGTCATAAAAGGCCTGTTTGTACAGGTATGGGTATATGTCTTCAAACAAGTAGAATTGTTTTGAACCAGCTATTTTTACAGAGAGGCAGGTGCAGAATTTTCTATTGTAAAGATGAAGGACCTTTCTAAAAATTCCAGCCTGTGTCTTACGGATAATCAGGACATACATACTTTGTTCTTGTGCCAGCACTGTTCTTCATCTAAAACAGCAGTCCCCACTCTTGCTTCCTTTGCCTTTCTTCCCCCCTTCCTCTTATTTATTCCCTTAATATATTTATGGATTGCAACCCCCTCCCCCCCCCCTAAATTTTCACTGAGTTTTTTCTCATATGAAACACTCCTTTCTCATTGTACCAATCCCTCATTGCATATATTCTTGTTAAAATTCCTGTTTTCGGCATACGCAATCACAGCTGTACATGGCGTATTACGTGAGATGTAATAAGTAGCGGTGGCAGTGTAAGATAGCAGCAGCTACTGGGAATAGCTCACACAATACACTCTGTGATCATATTTACCTTCCTTGGAGGCCTCATTGCACTGATTGCTCATATTCATCCCATCTCCTGCTCAAATTCCTTTTCTGTTTGCTTTGACTGTTTCCTATATGAAACTCCTCATTTGTAGCAAAAATTCTTGTTACTGGCCCTCCAGGTCATAACCTTGTATTCTGTACTATTACATTTCATTCCATTTCTATTATTCTGGTCCCAAGGTCAGTGAGCCTTTCTGTGTGACATCCCAGCTTTCCTCCCTATTGACAGCTTGGGTCATCAGATTTCATAAGTGCATTCCTACGTTTTTAACTTAGACTTAAAGGTGCCACTCATCGGTTTAGAGCTAAGCACATAGATATTGTTGTTTGCAGCGTACTTGGTTAGGAGACTTCATCACATATATATAATATGAAGCTTTAATAAAGTCACTTTTTAGCACAGCTCTGATTAAACCAGGACACAGGTGGGAGCTAATAATTTGCCCGTTCTGCCTCTTTGGCTCATGGCAGATTAAAATGGATTAGAGTTCATATGAGAACTCTCATTCTAGTTCATTTCTGCTGTATGGTGCAGTTTGGGATTAGAACTTCATGCATTTATTGCACACATGAGGAAACTCCAATGGGCTTCAACTTCAGATCCAGTTAACTAAGTTTTTCTTTTAAATTAATTTTTCTTCATTAAGATGTCCTAATAACAATAGATAAATCTTGAGACCAGGCTGTTAGCTCTTAGAGTCATTATTGAGGATGTACCCTCAGTACAATGAGTGAGATTATTCTCCTTTGCCTTTCCTCCCAAGTTTACCCAATAGACCCAAAGAAATAGGAAGGTGGGGGGAAGCTTAGATGGGACCAGTAATGAAGTGTGCCGTGGACAGCGCTTTTGGTTTCCGCAGCCCAAATGTACAGAAAGTCTGTTTCCTTTCTAAGTGACAAATTCTGTATTGATTTTGAACTCTGTGCTAATCAAAGTGCTTCCTTGGGATTTTTGCAAAAAGTACTTCCTTGGGATTACCTGGTAATGAGGTAGAGTTGCACGCTCCCTTCCCACAACCATCACAGACGGAATGTAATCTGGGATAAACTGACAGATGTACTGTTGTAAACATAGGAATGCCTATAAAAAGGAGGGAGGTGTAACTCTGATGCTTCCCAAACAGATCAATTAATTTCAGGCTTGTTCATAAGCAACCTGGCATTAACTTTAAATACATTAACATTTTTCCTGAAATTAAAAACAGGATCACGGGGCTTCCATCTAGTTTGCTGTATTAATTAGTGCTCTTTATTCTTGTTTTTCAGTTGAAGACAGGAAGACACCCAGTGAATCTAACAGCCCGTCTTCATCATCTTTGTCAGCACTGAGTGATTCTGCTAACAGCAAAGAAGACACGGATATAACCCAAAAAAACAAGGGTTCAAACAACCTGCTAGTCATTTCCGTAGTGCCTGGAAGTCAGACTTCACTGAACACTGAAGAGAAGTCAGAGAAAGGTAATACAAACAGTCATTTTCTATGCAGTGGATCTGGCCAAAGTGTCAGCAGTAAGTATTCCTTTTGTTTCTTTTTTCAGGCTTTGAATGTGTTTTCTGTAATTTTGTCTGCAAAACAAAAAACATGTTTGAGCGCCATCTGCAAATCCACCTGATCACACGGATGTTCGAGTGTGATGTGTGCCACAAGTTCATGAAGACACCTGAACAATTACTGGAGCACAAGAAATGCCACACTGTCCCCACCGGTGGGCTCAAGTAAGGAAAGCAAGTACACAAACTTTTACTGTGTTAAGAACCTCTAATACTGCGGGTATAGGACAAAAGGAAGTCAATTAGAGAAGATTAGTTTTATGTCTGATAATCCAGATTTGGGGCTTCCTTCTAACTAGATTAAAACATTTACAGTCCTTTAAGGTTCCCTTAAGTTAGGCTTGCATCATAGCAGGTAGGTACCCTAGCTGTAGACCTAGCGTCCACTGGTCTTAGAGCTGTAACAAAGCATCGTCCTTTTCCTTTTCAAGTCAAGTAGGAGACAATATATGATGGGTCCTACAGGTACTGAGGCAGTGTGGGTCCTACAGGTACTGAGGCAGTGCTATACAAAGGTGTTGGCAAACTAAGAGGTTTTTTTTTGAAGCCATCAGAGCAAAGGCGAGCACGCACCACATTCTCCGTTCTGCACCTGGCTCAGATAAACTAAACCCTGTACAATCTGTGCGACTAAGTATGAAGTCAGCTTCTCAGAATCAGCTCTCTCAACTACTTTGTAACCCTCGTGGACTCTAATGCATAAAGTCAGTCCTCTCCAGGAAATAATAATTTTGATGCTTACTGCTTTGGTTTGCATGCCTATACTAGTGTATAAATTAACAGGTAATGAGTAATATACTCTTCTTTAAGAACAAAAGCCCTTGATCTTTGACTGAGCTGTAACAGATGCCTGATTAGAGGGGGCACCTTAAAAAATAACAGACGATCTGCTGGAATTCCTTCTCTGTGGTAGAACTACTTGCAGTGCGTTTGCTATTGTAGTGTAGGCAATGCATATTTTGTGCTGTCATTCAGGATGCAATGCAAATCTTTCATCACCATGTAGGGGAAGTAGAAGTCCATGTTGCTCTTTCTGCATCAGAGTCCGAGTTGGACTCACTGTTCCTTTTTACAAGCCTTCCTTTTAAAAGAAGGGCTTTATTTAAGACCTGAGGTCCTATACTTTAAGGTCTGTTGGTCCAGAGCAATGTTTCTGGAAAGTGAGCATGCTCTTATGTCAAAGTTGGACCCCTGAGGGAAA